ACAGCAATTAACCACTAGGAAGAATGTATGCAATGTGCTAATTATTGAAACTGTCCTACCAATTTGGTCTGAAACTGTCTCATTGCTATTTATTTCTCAATAAAATTATGGAAAAAAAATAAAAAAGACATAAATAAAAAAAATGTTTTTTAAATTTAAAAAGTGGTAGGACATGAAAACAAGAGACAAAAGTAAATAAATAAATTAGAAAGTTGAATACTAGTTTATTAGGAAAACCAACTCATACATTAACATCATTCATCTTAAAAAGAAAAACGTAATAACAGAACTTTCGATGATCCAAACAGCTTTTTGCTGAAAGGTCAAAGTTTGCATTTGACATCCTTTTGCACAACTTATGTGATCTTTGCTGTTGTATGCACCCTGATAATTTGTCAAGCCTTGGTTCATACTTTAGTGTCACAGCAGCACATGCAGCACTCAGGCCATGTTAGTCTGTTTCTTGTATCACATTTGATAAAATTCAAAGCTGAAAACAGCTGCTCATAAGCATAAGATGCTCCAAACAAAGTGAGAAAAGCAATCCCAAGTGCTTTCACTGACTTACGATCATGTGGCAGAGAATCCCACACTTTAAGGATTTCATTTTCCGAACTGCCTGCGGTGCTGTCCTTGTCATCCCTTCACAGTCTTCTCTGTCTTCTCAGGTGCTGCACACAGGTCATAGAATTGATTTTTCCAGATAGAGCTTTCTTAAAATTTCAGAAGCTCCATTTCCAGAATTCATGATCTAACCTGTACAAGCAGGAAAGACCAGGTTCTTCGAATTTGGCTTCTTCTGGAGAAGTAAGAAAATGCAGAGTTGTCTCCATCTTACAGAACTGTAAAAATCTGTTACAAAAATTCTCCTTTTCAGCTACTGCAGTACTAGAAATTCCTTGTAGGTTTCCTCATGGCTCATAAGATTGTCTGCAAATTTTATAGAATTTTCTTAATTTATTGTTAGATTTGGAAAATCTTTGAGCTGCCGGCTTTCAAGGTCTGGGAGAGCTCAGCTCACCTGGCAGCAGAGAAGCCTCTGCCAGCCCACTGCAGCCCATGTACCCTAGGTCCCCCAGCTCTGCACCACGCTATACCATCCTGTCTCAACTAGCAGCAGGGAGCACTTTGTTTTATGAGAGCACAATGACAACTGATCTATTTTTTATTAATATGTGTTTCCAGGGAGGGAAAGAGGAAGCAAAATAATTAAAATGTATTAAATATAAGGACCAACTCCCCACATTGATTGTAACTTTTTTGGTCCTTTAATTATTTCAAGTAGTTGTCTCACCTCTCCAACCAGAAGCAAATTCATCATGAGAAAGAGCACTGTGTAAGAATCTCTTGTAGTCATAACTCCTAGTATAAATTCAGGTAATGTATTACAACTTTTAACTCTTGCCATCTTCTCTTGCACTGGTTCGCAGGCAACAAAATATTTAATAAAATTAGCTTAAGAAGATACTTGAAAGCAGAGAGAGCTTTATTGTAACTTTGTTTTACAATAAAGCTGAATTTTGTCCTGAATATATACTTTTAATTCACTTTAGTACATTTTTAATACACGCTTGCTCACTAGACTATTCAGCCTCTCCATGTGGATAACTAGCCTGTCAAAAACTGAGCTCCTGGTCGATCCTTGCCCTAAAATTACAACAAACAAAGAACTACTTCATCTCTTCCCTATATCAATAGACAGCAACCACTATTTTCTCAGGTCAAGAGTCTTAGTGTTGCCCAGAATCTTCTCTTCCTCTCAAATCTTATATCTAATCTCAGGAAATGCTATTGGTTCTGCCAAGAAGATCAAAATATACCCATACCTCAAGCAATTCTTACTACACTCATTGCTACCACTTTAGACCAGGCCACCATCACTTCTTACCTGGATTACTACAATAGCATTCTCCCTAGTCTTCCCACTCATGTTCTTGCCAAATAGTCCCTAATGCAAAACATCAAAGTGGCTAGCAACCACACACAGCAAAAGGCAAACTCCTTACATCAGCCTACAAGATCATTCATGGATTAGAATCTGTTGCCTTTCCAACTACATCTCTTCTTACTCTTCCCACCCTCCCTTTTTCCTAACCACACTAGCCTTTTTCCTACAATATGCTAGGTACAGTCCATTGTAGGGCTTTGCAGGCTTTCTCTGTTATACTACTTTCCTTAATATTCTAATGGCTAACCTCTACACCTGCTTACCCCCTTTAAAGCCTAATTCCCATTCTCTTTTCTCATTGAAAATACACATCCCTCCCTCATTCGTCCTTTCCATAGTATTATCACTGTAGCTGTAAGGAGAACATGTCTCTCAGACATCCATCCTCAAAAATGTGATTGATCAAAGATTACAGATGTACTCTGAAATGTGTCTCTGGGTCTACATTCCGTGCCATGTTTCTCAGGAGACACTCCCAGCCAGTGACTGCGCATGGCAGGAATGCTAAAGTAAGCTCATTCCAGGAGACACAAGACTACCCTGGTAGCTGACTTTGGACCCAAGATTCTCTGATGGCCCTGCCAATGTCCCTTTGACTGCACTGCAGATTAACTGCTTCAAGCAAACCTCTCTCTCTCTCTCTCTCTCTCTCTCTCTCTCTCTCTCTCTCTCTCT